CTGGTACCGATAAAAACGAAAAAGACCAAAAAAAAAAAAAAAAGCTCTGCAATGTTTCTCAAATATTTTAAAGATGTTGTTGGCTGAAGCTACAGACTTGGAACTTGTGGACATCAGAGCCTATAGTCACTGTATCTATGTGGCTAGCTGCACACTCACATAGAATGGATGAGAATTCTTACTGTTTAGTTTTTAAACTTAAAAAAATAATTCACTGCCTGGTTTGGTGGGAGGCAACTATAATCCTAGCACTGAGGAGGTTGAGGCAAGAGGATTACCATAAGTTTGAGGCCAGCCAGGGCTTCAGAGTGAGTTCAAGATCAAGATTACACACTGAGAACTTGTCCCCTCACAAAAAAAAAAAAAAAAAAAAAAAATTTAAGAATATAATTCATACCCAGGCGTGGTGGCTCATGCCTGTAATCCCAGCACTTGGGAGGCTCAGACAGGAGGATCAGATTGTTGCGAGTTTGAGACCAGCCTAAACTACAAAGTGAGCTCAAGGCCAGCCTGAACTGCATAGAGACCCTGTCTCAAAAAAGACAAAACAAAACAAAACAAAAAAAAGAATACAATTCATTTTACTAATAAACCTCTCTACCAAAATAAGTAGTACATGGTGGGGGATGAAAATTAAAAAAATGAAATTAAAGTTAATTTAAATTTAAAGAAAATTTAAAAATGAAATTAGTAACTGTTAGACTACTTACAAGATCCTAAGTAATGAATTCATGCAGATTTCTCATGATAAAAAAGACTGCCTGCTTGTGAATACTTTAAAATTCTTTCAAAATGTACTTTCCTGAAGGGGAGAGGCATATTCACTTCCCCTGCACTAACAAAAGAAACTCTGTAAGCTGGGCAAAGGCTTTCAAAGGTATAAGGGAATGGATTGAAAATGTGCTTTCACTCACAAAATTCATTTCCTTCAGGAGGCCTTTGGCTTGCATGAGAATGTGTATGGTGATCAAAGGGTTTTATAAGAAGAGGATTAGAATGTTATCCTATTCTATTAATAAAAGGGAATCAAAGAAGAATCGTTTCCTAAGGGGGACCATCCAGGCAGACTATTTATACCCAATGTCACCTACTCCTTGGCCGCTGCTGGGGCTGGGGCTTGCACCGTGTGGCTGCTGAATGTAAATGCACTGCTCTGCACCAATAGCGCAGCAGAGCCAGGCTACAGCTTGCACAACGCCCAGCATTGCAGTGACTTTAAGTCCCTTTCTCTACTGTCCCCAGGCCAGGCATCTTGAGAGTGACGACTCTTCTTTCCCACCTTCATGCCTTTCATTCAGCCCATGACAGCCAGGCCTCTACAGTCCGGCTCTTTAAGGCGCAAGAAGCCTAGAGCCAGGCCCAAGCAGCCCGGGGCAGGATGCTGACTACCGAGTGGCCAAAGCTGGCATGTAGGAGCCCCAGGTTCCAGGACAGACAGAGTTTCAGGCTGTGAGGTCAGGAGCAGGAGTCACGTAGGCTGGAAGCATCCAGCAGCAGTCACCTCCCCTCTTAGCCACAGTGCACCTGAATTTCCTGTGACATGCACAGAAGCACGCATGGTATCCATTCTTCCCTAAGGAAGTTTTGGTTGCTCAAGGAGTTCGTGGATTTTATCTAATTTTTTTGAATTTACTGATGCAGAGGTGCTGGTAGAATCTCTTGCTGTACCTTTATGGCCTGGACGGTCCCCTGACAGCCCGACAGCCCCTTCTGTTCCTGATGTTGGTCATGCATCCACTTTTATTGATCAGTTTGGCACAGTCAATTTATGTCATCTGTGGCTTTTAAAACTGCCAAACCTCGTGGCCTCTTTTTGTATTGTTAGGGTTAGATTTGTAGGGTTAGATTTCCCTGCATGTCCTTCTGTTCTCAGCCTCTGACTTCTCTCCAAAGCCTCTCATGCTCCTCCTACTTTCTTCTCATTACCAACAGTTCCCCAGCCTCTCTCAGAGCTCCACCTTGATCCCTGGCTCAGTTGCTTCTCAACTCACACCACCAGACAATCTTCACTTCTCTTATCTCCCTACTCACTGGGTAAACTGACAGCTCACAACTTCGCATTTTTAACCCGGCTTTTCTCTCTATTTCTGTTTCCCACTCTCCTGTCACTTGAAATCCGTTATTTCCACTTCCAGCTGATTAAATCACCATTCCCCCTGAACTTGAAAATCCTAAATCACCAGCAATTCATTCTTATCCTTCAGCCTCTCCCTCCAGCTGGCAGCACACATACTTTCCCTCCAGTCTCTGCATCTATGCACCCCCTGGTCCTTTCCCACCTGCACCTCTAGGACCCACTGCTGCTCAGATTCCAGCCAGCATCATCTCCAGACCACACTGCTCCATGTCCCTCCTGCATGAGCTGGCGGCCACGAGAAAGCTCGGGTGGCCTTGCAAACACACAGTGCTGCCTGCTGGCTCCACGACAGAGCTGCGGCTTCTGGTTCTGCCCTGTACCCAAGAGCAGGAGGGGCAGCCACACCTGCCTGCTAATGGTCACACCATGGCCTTTTTACCACATCTTTTTCTCTTCTGTCGCCTGGTTGATTCAGCCTTCCAGACCAAATCTGGGGCTCACATCTTCTGCAAAGCCTTTTTTCTCTTCAAGGATCTTCTTCACTTAAGTATAGTAACACGTAAAAAAGTGCACACGTGGGGCCTCACAAGTGCAGTGTGATGACCTGGACAGCTCCACACACCCCCATCAAGACACAGAGTTCCCTCTCATCTCTTCCAGGCATCCACTTTCTTATTCTACAGGTACCACTGATCAGACTCTTTCTCCACAGATTACCTTCACCTGCTGTGTCTTTTACCCATGTGGGATCAATAATGCGTAGCTTTGTTTTGATGTCTGCCTTCTTTCACTCAGTATAAACTTTCTGAGATTGATCCATGTTGTTTTTGTGTAAGCAGGTAGGTCATTCTGCTGAAGGCAGGAGTGACTGGGTTGTAAATGTAAACATTTTTTCACTCACAGATAGGCATTGTCATTCTTTAAACATGAAGTGTCCTCCAGACAAAGAGCTGAATCCCCAACACAGCATCCCTAGTGGGATGACTGGATTACAAGGGCACTGACCTCATCCGTGGATTAAACCTTTGATGAGTTCATGGCTGCATGGGCATTAGGACGTAGGGCCAAGGTACAAGTGGGTCACCAGGGAAAGGGGTATCTTTTGGGGGGATCTTTCCTTGCTCTCTGCTTCTCAGCAGCCATAAAGTGAGCAGCTTTCCTCCGCCAGACTCTTCCATCATGATTGGCCTTAGAGCCTACTAACCATGGACTGAAACTTCTAAAACCATGAGCCAAAATAAACCTCTCCTTCTCCAAATTGGGCAATTATCTGTGTCAGATACTTTGTCCAAGCAACAGAAAGATAATACAGACTTGTATAAGGTTTTCTTTTGATGGAGAGAGGTTGTAACGAGGCTTTGACTCTCTGTCCATCCCTCTTCTAAAATGTAGAGCATTACAGTTTATCTCCTCCCCCACTTACAGGTCTTTGCTAAGTCCTGTTGTGTCATAAATATTCTTGTTCTTAAGCTGGGGATTTAGCTCAGTGATATAAGCGCCTGTCTAGCAAGCATGAGATCATGAGTTTGATCCCCAGTACAAAAAAAAAAAATTTGTTCGTAGACTTTTAAATTTGGTGGAAAAGGTACTAAGTGCTAGACTTTCATTAGCTTTCTGATCACCCCCATGGTCCCATGTTCAGAGGAACCTGAGCCCTACAGCAACCAGTTAGCCCAGCCAGGAATCTACATCTATCTGATACCCAATCTTAAACTCTGGACAACTGTAACACTGAATGCCTAGTAAACAGTAGGCTCTCACTTTTTTAAAATGTACATTAATAATTCTCTTTAAAAATTCATCACTCAATAAACGTGGTCATGGTTGAGCCAAGACAACAAACACACTTTATTCTTTACCCATAAGTAAGCAACCATCCTTGCAAAATGATTTCACGACACACTCTGCTCCGAAGTAGCTATTAAATTTTCTCAAGATTCTATGAGTCAGAAGCCACCATAGGTCACCTGGGCAGTGTACACTTGGAGCCTCTCACTGGGGCTGCACTCAGACGTCACCTAGTCTGATGTCCACCATGGCTCACCCCAAAAGCCAGCAGTCAATGCTGGGGCTGCTGATCCCTGAGTCCTTCAGCAATATGTAGTCATTTCAGGGCAGCCAGACCCAGCACCCAGAGCAAGCGTCCTAGGATAACCAGGAGGAAATTTCCTAGCTTTGCAAACTGCAGAGCACCTCTTCTGCCATGCTCTGCTGGCAGACGCAGTTACAGTCAGCCTGGATTCACTGGGGGTTGCACAGCCAGCCACAGCCGTGGGGAGCGTGAAGAGTGGTGCAGTCACACTCGGGAAGTCCAAGAGGTGGGGTGGGCGGGGCCATCTTTGGAAAACATGATCTGTGGTGCCACTCCTCAAGACTGCCAAGCCATGTGGGGGCACTGAAAGCAAAGACCTGTAGTTTGGGGAAATTCCCTTTGGGGGTCAGTAGCCTCCTCATTTACTATCAGGACATAGGTGGATTTTCCGGGAAAATCAGACATTTTTAAATTTGTTTTATTTCAAAGTTATGTCATTGGTGTAGGACCTAGGACTGCAAGTTCTCAGAAACCCCAAGCAGTAAATGTGCCACTTTACAGCCACACAGAACTAATACAGAACTGCCAAACAGTTCTGCAAATTATCAGCAAGGGAGACACAAAGCATCTCCAATGGATGTAATGCCTGTAAGTGTTGCCAAAACAAAGGCTAGGAAAGGTGGAGACATTACCTACACTGAGCCACATCCCATATTTTATTTCGAATCTGGAGGCAGGGCCTCACTGAGTAGCTAAGTTGCCCAGGCTGGGCTAGGACTTGAGATCTTTCTGCCTCGGCCTCACAGAGTCGGTGACTACAGTGCCTGCCACCACTTATACAGGTGATGGTCCCTTGAGGCTAGGCCACACAAGTTGCTCCTCTGACCATACCTGGCTTTGCGAATGTGCAGCTGCGGGTAGTGGCTGTGCCTGTGACACACATACACTGCAAAGTCCTCATTGAACGTCAGACATGGCACGCTCCCCACTGGATTAAAAACAGTGACGAGAGTTGAGCCTGCATCACAGGAAGAGAGCCATGTGTCATTTTACAAAGAATAACTTCAAGGCTTCAAACAAGATTCTACATGGTGGTACAGTGGTGATAACCAAGTGTGCAAGGGAACGCTCTGGATTAGGAGGCCAGCCCTCTTCCCACCCCAAGCGTCCCCATCCAGGGCTGGGGGGCGGAGCGGGCAAGGGCCTCACCTAGGCTCATGTAAGACGGCACTATAAGAAAGATGAAGTGCAGGTCCGGCACTGCCTTAAACACAGTCCTGGGGGTGGAGAGAGCGTGGTGGTGTTAATAACAAAGTTGTCTCAGCGGCCTGTGCTTCAGAGACAAATACCACCATGGAGGAGACCAGGTGTCCAGAACCCACAGGGCTCCAGAGCCAGCTTCTGGTCTCTTCTGCTCCCCATGGACTCCAAAGGGCCCCTCCCTGTCTGCCCCGAGGAGCTGAGAGATAAAGGGCATGAGCCGAGGCAGCACGGCAGATTTCTGCTGATATTAACCTCTGACCTGGCATCTGGACCATCTGGTGTGACGTTACTAAGTGACTTGAAAGCTGACCCCCGCCCTGAGGCCTTTGCAGGCTGCTGGAGGCCCCTGGCCACAACGCAGCCCTGCTGATCACCTTTGTAGGCATCCCCTGGACCCCCTGCAGCCTGTCTGGTAACAAACTCAGCTAGTGGGAGAAAAACACGGAGTGGATTCTAATAATTCTCTTATTTTTGTTTAGAAACATCACTGCTATTTAAGTGAAAGTTTTCATTTGCCCCTGAACTATAGCAAATGAAATGCCCAAATTTCATGACTAAAAATTTTCTGAATCTGTCCCACGGAGGCCTCTGAGGTGTTTGCTATCTTTGAGGCCCTGACCACTCACCGGATAATCTCTTTGCAGCAGCCCACGGAGTACTCGTTCACAGCCACAAAGAGGTGCAGGAACAGTGTGTTCAGGGGCTGAAGGGAGGAGGAGAGCGGCTGAGTCAGTGTTCGGGCCCCATCAGAGGACCATGGCAGCACCGACAGCTGCCCAGCACTGGGCAATGACAGTTTGTGTCTATGTGCTGAGACACCGGGTGGCTCTGGAGACCTGGCACCAGCTCCTTCATGGCCTCCTGTGCTCCTGGCTCAGAATTATTCAAGGGAATGGGACAGTATGAGTGCAGAGTGCCAGCCCTCCCTCCAGCCCTGGCAGATGCTTTGGCAGGGAAGCCTACAGAGTTGCTGTATGGATGAGTAGCTCCTGGGCTTGTCAGCAGGGCTGTCTGCACCCAGAGAAATGGCTATGCCTTCCCTGGGGCTCCCAGGTCAGCAGCTGCCACTCCATTCATGGACAGGAGAGGAAGACGTGCTGCTAAAACTGAAGGAAGAGAGGCAGATGCCTTGGGCAGAATCTGAAGGCTCGCTTTGTTCAACATTCCAGGAGTCAGATCAAATATTACACTTATGATCCAGAAAACCTGGAAGTTGAAACCAAAGAGTAGTAAGATTCAACCATGACTTTTGGCCTAAATATCCATGTTTTAAAAAAGCTTCATCCTGTAACTTTTGAATATCATTCCACCTGCCTAAACCATGGGTAGTCTTTCTATACAGGCGCTTATGGGTCGCTTGTGTTGATGAGCAAATCTTCTGGTCATAGAAATGCTGCACATGAGAGGTTGCTGACTGGCCAGGGAAGGACAATAGGACCATGTCTACGTCTGCATGTGTGTGTGATGTGTGAGCATGTTTCTTGTATTCTGAGCACTACTGTCCCTCAGAATGGTGGGGACTGATTCCCAGACCTCTGAAGATCTAAGTGGTGTTTGTGCACAATCTACAGGTCCTCCAATTACTGACAATCCTAATCCAACACAATATTTCCTACACAGTTGTTAGACTATGTTTGTTTAGAAAACCAATGACAAGGAAAGGCATCAGTTGTGATTTTTAAAACTACTTTACCTCTGAAAGTGGTTCAATTTGGGGACCTGAGGAGAAGAAAGAGCCTAGAGACAAAAGAAGGAGCTGTGGCTTTCCAGGTGACCTTGGGTTACTATCAACCACATACCCTGGATGGTGTGGCTTAGCTGCATTCAGAAGGAACTGTGATGACCACAGTATGGCAAGAGGAGAACCGAGATTCTCCAAAAGTCAGCAGTACAAAGCCCCAGCCCAGGTAACAGTGACAACAAGGCCAGATCCTGAAGCACCTTCTGGGTGTCAGCCCAGCAATCCCAACATAACCTTCTGGACACCTGCTTTGTGCTCTGAACCACACTGGTCTCATGAACACATGATTACAAGCTTGTTACCCAAATTCTCCCTTCAGGCAAAAATATCATAACTAAGATGGGTGTGGCAATGCACACCAGTAATCTTAGCACTCTGGGAAGCTGAAACAGGAGGGTCTAAGATGTACTCTTTACATAGCTTTAGGATAAAATCATTACTTCAGTGGTAAAGACCCCTGTAATAGAAAACACATGAACACTTAAGGCTCTGTTATGGTGTCTAGATGTCTCCCCAAAATGTCATGCAGTCATAGGTAGAGCTTTTAGAGGGGGCTGGATCTAGAGTGTATGATGCTGGGATTAAGGCTATGTGATTACTGAATTACTCTACTGACTGGTTTGGCATATTTCTAGGAATGGGTAATGGGAAATTCCTCCTAGACAGAATACAAGGGACAGGAACAGGGCTGCTATGGCTTCCCACCACTTCATGCTTGCTGCTTCTGCCTGCCAAGACCTGTTTCTCTTCTGTGATGTCCTCTGGGAGCAAGTCTGCCTCGGAGCCAGCTGATAATAGACTGAACCCTCTATAAACCATGAGTCAAATAAACCTTTCTTCTTTTAACCCTGAGTGTCAGTTATTTTATCTCAGTAACAAGGAAAGTAACCAAGACAGGCTCTGTACCAGTGCTTTCCAATACAAAAAGAACATGAGCCATAAATGAAAGCCACAAATTTAAGCCACAATCTAAAATTTTCTAGTACATACATTAAAGAAGGATAATAAGTTTAATTCTTTTTAATTTTGTATTTTGTTTAAACTAATATATTTGAATTGTCATTTTAACAAATAATCAGTACTTGACATCCATTGTATATTATATATTTATAATACATGGCAACTCAGACTAGCTATATTTCAAATCCTCAATGGCTGCTTGTGGCTGGCGGCTAATTTACTGGACAACCCAACTCCATACTAGGTAGGAAGAGCTTAAAAAGAAACAATCTTCGTAGGCCAGGAGGAGAACCAGCGCTCCTGAGATCCGGCCATGGTGAGACTTAGGCAGCTTATCCTCCTGCCCTCTTGGTAAGTGCCCCCAGTGTGGGCCAGGAGGAGAACCAGGGTTCCTGTGAGCCTACCGGCACTTGGGCTTAGAATCAAACACCCTCCCCCACCCATAGCTACTAGGAATAGATGTCTCACCACCTCTTGGAAGGATGACCATATGCAGTATAGAGAATATGAGGGATTTCCTTCAATCTTCTGTTTGAAGGCAAAGATTGTTTTCACTGTTTTGTTATGTTTCTTTTGCTCTATTCAATACTCTCAACTGCTTTTATAATATCCTGTTTTTGTTTTGTTTTGGTTTTTTTGGCTTTTTCCTTTTTACCGGTACCAGGGACACGACTGCCTGCTTGCAAGGCAGGCGCTTATGCTGCTGAGCTAAATCCCCAGCCCCTATAATGTCCTGTTTTTGGTTTGATTTCACTATACCTAATTGACTGGACAACCTATTGTGAAGATAACGAGATATACCATAGCACCTATTACTACCATCCCAGTATCCTGCTGTGAAGTTTTGTACTAATTTCACTGCATTGTCTCAATTGGCTTTGTTCTGTCTTGTTCTGTTGTATTTTTACTACTTTCAAAATAAAATTTAAAAAAGAAACAATCTTAAAAAAACAAGAAAACAAAAGGAACCAAAGTTCTAATTTATTAATTTTCAAATGGCAAAATAACCCAAATACAAATATAGAATAAACAAAACTCAGAAATTTACCTAACTCATCAACTAATGAAGCAACTAATGAGATAATAAAACAGATTCTGTACACCTAAGGAGATGGATATTTCAGGGGGTTTGAGACAGAAATGTAAGAATAGCACTATGATCTTACACATAAAATGGTTAATGTATTGCAGCCCGTCGTTAGAACCTTTGAGATTAGCACTTTGACTAGACAGGAATAAATTACTTATATATCAGGTGAATAAAGTCTGCAAGTTAGTTGCTATTCCCACAGAAATGTAAAACAGCCCTGTCAATCCAAGGTACATGCCCTGCACAGAAAGAATTCTTCTGGTCCACTTCAGAGTTTGGCATCATTTTTCTGGAAATGCCACAGCATGGCAGAGGCACAGAAGGCACAAAAACCAGAGCAAGTACCTCCTCCCTGAATTAACAGTGAACACCTGGCCCATGGTCTCATGTACATGAAGCTGTGGGTTCGGGGACCCGAGGCATGCACCCCCTTAGCATTTCCTCCTTTCTGACATTGGAGATTGGGGGCACACTGGTGAGCTCCCCTGAAGGGCAAGGGCTTTCTGTGTAACCTCAGCTCTGCAGAGGGGCAGGTCCCTGCCAGTCTATCTCAGGGAAAGCTTGGAGCTGGCACTGGGCTTCCAGGTTGGGCTCCTAGAAACCACTGCCTTTGGTCCCCTGCAGCGACATGATGTCACAGGCCCTCAGCTAAGACATCAGATGAGCCACAGTCCACAAGGGCATCTTGAAAATGACAGTATGACTCACATGGGAGGCTCCATTATCATCATCACAAGTGATCAAAGACATCAGGTGCAGTGCACAGAGAACAATGTGAGTCCTAGAAGTGTGCATGCCTTGCAACACTCCTGCCAGCCAGAGCAGGAGCAGGGCCTTGGCAGCAGCTGGCATCCCAGTGCTGTGTCCTCTGCCTCAGAGCTCTGCTCCCCTCCCCTCCTCTTCCCTCCCCACCAGTTCACTCAGGATTAACCATCATGACATTGTCACTCATGAGTTTGGACTTGTCAGTTTAGAAGTCCATACAGTAGCCTCACAAACCCAGGCCTGCACCTCTGCATGCAGGCATCTCTGTGACACCTGCCATGGGGGAACTCCTTACCGTGCAGGGGATGTCGCTGTCAAGCTCTCGGAACACTGATGGCCAGGCCTCGGGTGTGGCCACATTCCAATTGGGATAGTCCAGGAAAGTGGCCTGGGCCATGATCTCCTCTCTGTCATTGCACAGGGTGATGGCCAGGTTTGCTTTCTCGCTGCAGAAAGTTAAAAGTGCACATGTAAATTAGGATACCCCAAAGTAAGACAAGGCCAGGGCATTTCCTCCCTCCTCAGCCTCAGAGCTCAGCAGCTGCCACAGGAAGTTGATAATTTCTGAGAGACGGGAGAACAATGCTGCAGCAACTCTGAGGCCAGGACCTTCAGGACAATTGATAGGACTGACTTGGTTTTTGCAGTGCTGCAGAGATGGAACCCAGGGCTCCACACACATCAAACAAGGCCTCTGCCACTGTTAGCCCCAGTCCCTCAATTCGTATTGCAAATTACATTTCACTAAAAAGGTGTTATATTTAAATTACAAATATACTTTCCTTTGAGACTGGCTAACTATGACTGTAGTTTTCCTGCTGTTTCACATTGCCTGTACCATTGTTGGCCTACATTTGTACAGTCAGGGTGGCCAACTTCTCTTCTCAGGACCCAGCTGGTGGCCCAACACAAGACTTCCCGTGCACTAACACTGTCAGAATCCTGGGTGAACTGGGATGATCTGATCACATAAGCACAGCAGCAAAGTGCAGTGTTTCACTGTATCTTAAGCATTCTTAAGTGATTTCTCCAAACCCTGTGTCCCAAGGCTGATCACATGCAGTCTGATCATCCGAGGGTCGCCCGACCCAACTGCAGGAACCGGGACTCAGAGGGCTCCTGGCAACACTGAGGTTTCAATCAAACACAAGATGCAAAGCCAGCCTTCCTAACCCCATAGAACCATTCTGACAGCCCTGCCCTATACTGGCCTCGGGGCTCCAAGAACAGGGGTTGTGACTCAGAGCTAGTGCCCAGGTTAGGACACCACAGACTATGTGTGTACAAACTGAAGGGCAGCTTTCATTCTCTAAACTGAACAAAATCTACTGGTATCTTCCATTGCAGGAAAGAAAGATTCAAACATTCATTCAAAATCCAGAGATGGCAAGAGTTGCTTCCTTTATTGAAGGAAACAGAAAGGCAGCAAGTAATGGAGGAAGAGTGTGGGGAGATGGTAGAAAAAACAGAAGTTACATATGCTTCCATATGCTTTTTTATTGCAAAAAGTGTAACTGTCCACACAGACAAAAGCAAGAAACTATAAACAAGAAGGGAAAAAATAATTCACCTCAATAGGTACTCAATAAAACAATAAACAAACGTGAGAAAGAATCATGGCTTTTAGAAATGCCTACAAAAGCAGCTTGAAACTGAGGCTGGGTGGGGAGAGGACAGGGGTCAGCAAGAATGCAAAGCCAAAGGTGGTGGGTATGAGGGGCTGTAGTTCTTCCAGGTGCTGCAGGACATTAATGAAAATGCAAATTTACTTTTACCCCTGAAAATATGCAAATTTCAGAACTGTCTTAAGGATCTCAGTTAACATTTTTTCCACAACTCCCATCTAACATGACTTACAACACACCTGCAGATGCCCTACAGGTGGACTGGAGGTGCTGCCATGGGAAAACATCCCGGGGACAAGTGGCTGCCATGGTTGGACCCTCAGGTGAAACATGGCACTTGAGAACACAGGTCTATGGAAGCTTTTTGGAGAAAAATCCTTGGGAAGAACCCACTGCTTACGCTCTCCCTGTGCCACCTTCTGAGCACCATGAAAGGAGCCGCCTCGCCAGACAAGGGACAAGAGTGAAGGACAGCGATCATGGGAAGCTCTGTCCTCTCCCTGCCACTCAGGCCACAGGGTGACAGCCTCTGCTGATGCGTGACAAAAGGGTCACATTCAGGACCCAGACACTGGGACAGGACAGTGTGAGGGAAGTGGTGGTGGTGGGGGAGAGATGAGGAGAATCCAGATGGCTTTTGTCATCTGCATTAGATGATTTCCATATTTCAGTTATAAATTCACCAATAACTGAATTTGGGGAAAGCTGGTATGACCAGAATGTGTGTGTACACCTGTTTTCTTTTCTATCTGTCCACTTTCCTGGATTGCCCCAGCTCAGCGTGCCTCTAGCCAGTTCCCACAGCTACGAAATGGCACAGGTTCACCCTGCTCCAGGATTTCTGTGGATTCTATGCCATTCCCACACTCTAAAGGCAATGCCTACCAGCCTTCAGTTGAGCAAATCCTCCCCCTACTATTTTGCTTCTTTTATACTGTCCTGGTCTTTGCTTTCCCAGAAAAAGCCTCAGATTTTCAAGTTCAACAAATAATCTTGCTAGGATTTTCATTAGAACTGATTTCATGATATTAAAGTCACTCTTCCTATCCAAAGTGTGGTTACCTCTTGCTTTATTTAATTCTTCCTTCATATTTTTTCAGTAATTGATAATTTACCTCATAATAGGCTTGGAATTACTGCCCGTTGTACTGCTGGTATGCGTATTTTTTGGCATGAGTATAAATAGTAAAATGCTTTCCAACCATTCATTGCTAGTACTGCAAATAAAAATGCAGTTGGCTTTTGCTTAATGATTGCTTAGTAGCCAGCCACTTTAAACTGTGGTACTAATTCTAATGATTTGCTTACACATTGCTTCTATCATTCTACATCACAATTATCCGCAAATAATAAGTTTTACTTCTTCCATTTCAATCCCAATACATATTATTTTAGTTTTTATAGTACAATGGCAAGGACCTCCACGGCAATGTTTAACAGAAATCATGACAACAAACATTCTCATCCTGCTTGCTACACTAAAAAATTCTTTTAGTATTTTAGCATTATATATGGAGAAAATTAAAGATTTTTTTATAGATATCTTTAGCATGCTATGCATTCTCTTGTATTCTTGGTTAAGAGATACTACTATGAATTGTTAAGGGTTTTTTGCTTTTTGTTTGTTTTTAAAAGTTTATTGGTACAGTTAAGATATACATAATGATCACATTCATCACAGAGAATGTATTGTCCATTGTACTGCTGGTATGCATATATTTTGGCATGAGTATAAATAGTAAAATGCTAACTATTCATTGCTAGTACTGCAAATAGAAATGCAGTTGTACATAACTTGATTTCTTTTTTCTCCTTTCTCCTCCCCTCCCTTCAGCCCTCTTTCCTTCATCATTTACCCAAAGCTTTATTTGCATTTTTCTTACCCCTTCTTTCTGTTCTCCCACCTCCTCCCCTTGTTCCCCTTCTCATTTGTACATTATCTTCCCATTTCCAAATATCTACTATACATTTGCATCCTCCTTTGCACTTTTGTTTTCTTACACCAGAAAAATGACATGGTATTCACGTACATGTGTCCAGTTTATTTCAATTAAAATTTATGGTTTCAAGGTGTATCCACTTACTTAGAAATGTCTCAAGTTTACCCTCCTTTATGGCAGAGTATTACTCTATTGTATATTAAAAACATATTCTATCCATTCATTGGTTAATGGGCATTTGGACTATTTTCAAGATTTGACTATTACAAACTGTGCAGCTACAAACATGGGTGTGCATATGTTGCCATGATAACATTTTTAAATATTTCAGGAAGCAAAAAGGCAAATAGCTGGGTTGAATGGAACTTCTAGTTTTAGTTTTTTGAGGAATCACCACACTGATTACCACAGTGGTTGCACCAGTCTATACTCTCACCAACAGCAGATTTCTTTTTCTCCATGGCCCCGCCAGCATTTGTTATTGTTTGATTTCTTGATACAGCTATTCTTTCTGAAGATGGAATCTCAGAATTGCTTTAATCTGTATCTCTCAAATGGCCAGTGATGTTTTATATTTTGTCATATATTTATTGATTGTTTTTACTACTTCATCTGAGAATTGTCTATTCATTTCAGACATCCTTTTTTGGATTGGGTCTTTAAATTGGGGTTGGGGGGGGAGTCCAGGTTTTTTTTACATTGTTTATATATTCTAGATATTAGTCCTCTGTCTGAGGAGCACCTGGCAAAAACTTCCCACACTGTGGGCTGTCTCTTCACTCTGGTGGTGGTTTCTCTTGCTATACAAAAAGTTCTTTTAGTCAGATGAGACCTCAGTTGTTGTTTCTTCTGTGTGATTGGGGTTTGTTCATATAAAGTCTTTGCTTATACCAATGTCTTCAAAAGTTCTACCTACCCTATCTTCCAGCAGATATTGTGTTTGTTTTACTATTTAAGTCTTTGATCCATTTCAATTTTAGTTTAGTACATGATGAAAGTCATAGGTTTAGAGCCATGGACTTAGCTCAGTGGTGTGAGCACCTTCCTGGCAAGCACAAGGTCATGAGTTTGATTCCTGGTACAGAAAGAAATGCATAGGTCTAGTTTTAATTCCCACCATGTGGGAAGCCAGTCTTTCCAGCATAATTTATAAAGAGGCTATCTTTCTTCCAATGCAGGCATTTGATTCCGTTGTCAAAGATAAGATAGCTGATTTTGTCTGGAGTTGTTTCTGCATCTTCTGATCTGTTCCACTGATCCTCTGGTCTGTTCTTTGGGGTTTTTTGTCCATCTCACGCTATTTTTATCACAGTAGCTCGGCAGTATTAATTTCAAGTCAGGAAATGTGATGCTCCCTGCCTTACCTTTGTTGCCCAGAATTGATTTTGCTGTTCTAGGTCTCTTTTTGGTTCCAAATAAATTTTAGGACTGTTTTCTCTAATTCTGTGAGGTATGACATTAGTATTTTGATTGGAATGACATTATAACAATATACAATATATTATAGTATAACAATTTTGGAAGTATGGTCATTTTCACTGAGATCTTCCTGCCTATGAATGAAGGCTATCTTTCCATTTTCTGGTATCTTTTTTATCTTCTTTTTCAGAGCGCTGTAATTTTCAACGTAAAAATCTTTTACTTCATTAAATTGATTCTTAGGTATTTTCTTTTTTTGGATGCTGTTGTGAAAGGTATTTTTCTCTAATTTCTCTCAGTATGTTTCATTTGTGTACAAAAATGCTATAGGTTTTTGAGTGTCAACTTTATATCTTGCTACTAAATTTCATTATTAAGTCTAGAAATCTTTTGGTAGAGCTTTTGGGGTCTTCTGCTTACAGTATCATGTCATCCACAAATAATGATAATTTAACTTTTTACTTTCCTATCCTTATTTCTTTTATATTTGCTCTAATGTTTCCATAACTATGTTGAACTTTGAATAAGAGTTGTGACAGGGTACATGCTTATCTTGCTCCTAATTTTAAAGTAAAAGGTTTCAGTTTTTGCCTACATACTATGATATTGGCTGTGGGTTGGTCATAGATGACTTTTATCAGATTGAGATAAAGACTATTCCAATTTTCTGTAGGGTTTTTATTACAAATGGGTGTTGGGCTTTGTTGGACACTTTTTCTACATCCATTGAGATGATATGGTTTTATCCTTAGCCCTGTCAATATAGTATATTTACTGATTTATGTATATTGAACCTCATCTCTGGGATGAATCCTACTTGGTCATGATGTATAATCTTCTTGATTTGCTGCATACTATTAGGGAGACTGGCTTATAGTTCTCTTTTTTGATTGGATCCTTCTCTGCCTTTGTTATCAGGGTAATGCTTGCTTCTAGGAATGAATTTGGGAGTACTGCTTCCCTTTCAATTTCATTAAAAAGTTTGAGAAGTAGTGGCATTAGATCTTCTCTAAATTTCTTGTAGAATTTCCCAGTGTATCCATCAGGGCCTGGGCTTTACTTTGTTGGTAGATTTTTAATTACATCTTCAATTTAATTAACTGATATTAGTTTATTTAGAATTTTTATACCTTCTTTACTAAAATATGATAATTCATATTAATCTAGCAATCTGTCCATTTCTTCTGCATTTCCATCTTATTAGAATGTAGGTTCTCAAAGTAGGTACTAATAATCTTCAGGACCTAGGGTTTTTTGTTTGTTTTGTTTTCAGGATCTGTTGTGTGATTTCACTCTTTTCACTGCTAACTGTGTGAGTCTGAGTTTTTCCTTTTTTAAAATAAAGTTGGCTAAGGGTTTATCAATTTTATTTAATCTTTTAAAGAATCAATCCTTCTATTCATTGATTCTTTATATTGTTTTCATAGTCTCCCTGGCATTAATTTCTGCTCTGATCCCATTTCCTCCTCCATACAATCTTTGGGCTTGACTTGCTCTTCTTTTTCTAGGAGCTTGAGGTTCAACATTAGGTCATGTATTTTCTTAAGACAGTGTTAAGTCTGTGTCCAGATGTCCTCACGCCCAGAGCCTCACATGGTCATGGATGTGGCTTAGCAGAGATGGCTGGATCTAGTGTGTAGTTACTAACTTAGCCATTGATTGATTTGGCATAGTTCTGGGTGTGGATAACAGAAAGACCCACACCCATCCTCCATACTGCTCACTATTACATAGTTTATATTTTCATTTTTGACATAGTAAATAGTTATCTTCTATTGTCTGCCTTAGTCTGCCCAAAGGACATGTAGCTTGAATAGAATATAAGAGACAGAAAGGTTGCTGCCACTGTTTGCTGCTTCTCTGCTACTTTCTGCTTTGGTATCCTTTTCCTGCCACGAACTGCTTCTCCTCCACGATGCCCCTCTGCCATGCCACCCTGTCTTGGAGTCAGCCAACTATAGATTGAAACCTCTACAAACTGTGAGCTACATAAATCTCCTATTCTTTAACTTTGAGTGTCGGGTATTTGTCTCATCAATAAGAAAGTCACTAAGACAGATAATGTTGGCAAAGCACAGAGCCTCATGTAAGACACACTCCTCAAATCTGGTGGCTAACATTACTAACCTGTTCCAAGTGACTACACTGGTGAGTGGGGCCACTGAGACCCAATCCAAGGTCTATGAGAAGCCTTTGCAATCTGCACATAGTTACAAGACACAGACTTGTGTTCCCAGGTATTTCATGTCACATGTTTTTAGGGTACAGCAGGTAGCTCGCCTTCTCATTAAGGCCCACAAGGAGGGAGTAGGAACTCTTCCCACGGGGTGACAACACTGATGAACATACTTGGATGTACTTAGCTAAGTACTTACAGAAGATAGATGATATTAAGCCTTCCAAAAAGCTTCTGGGTAAATTTTCTAATGAGTTTTTGGATACAATAAATATCCTGTGATTCTGTTCTTCGGCAGTGAACCACTTCTGCCTTTCCTCTGGGAGAAGTGAGTATGGACATTTTGTCTCCTGTCCCCAAAAGAGAGAAAAAAAGTCTACATTAATCTGAGACGACAAGTTGTTCAGTTACAGACTCACAAAACTGGACATTAGCTCAATTTTTGCATGGTCAGAGAGAATGTGGTGGGCAAGTAGTGGCTCTTGGGAGTGTCTGTGTCCCCTGGGAGTGTCCCCTGGGAGGTCCGTGTTGATAGTTTCCACAAGCCAGCTATAGTAATTCTCCATTGGACAGCAAAGCTTCTGAGATTTTGCCAGTCCAGAAATTCCTAAAATGTATTCTTTCTTTTCAACCAAGTGCTTCAAAGTCTTCTAACAACAGGATTGAAAAACTGAAAGGATTTATTTACTGATCCAGTGTCCAGCATATTTAAACATCCACTTTATGTACAGCATGTGATCAGGAAGTACAGGAGAGATACTGAGAGCTGCTGGCCAACTCCTAGCTGCAGGATCCCTGCAGGGGTCCTGAAGAGAGCAGTCTTGAAAGATATTTGGAGACAAAAAAGTCCTGTGGCCAAATATGTGTATAGTGGCCAGGGATCACCTTGGCCACTGCTATGGCAGGAAGTGTCCCCTAAAAGTATATGTGTTTGGTCAGCAGCCTACAGCACTCCTGGGTGGTGTCAGGATCTAGAAACAGCACTGGACTGAGCTTCTTTTTGCTTCATCAAGAAGGAAGCCAAGGCATAAGAAGTGAAGTGACTTTCCTCAGAACACACATTTTGGTACAGGAAAGGACCTTGGGCATCTCCTGCCAGCACAGCCTCTGTCCCTACCTCCTGTATGTTCTGTGGGTAAACAGTCCCTATCCTCATTGTTCTCTGGGCTTCAGATTAAACTTCAGCTCAACTGCCCTTAACACATAACTTCACCGTCAAGTGCAAAATATGGGGTAATGCAGAGGGTATACTGGGGAGTCAGCATGACAGCTAGGAGTTGTGCAGAGGCCTCTGCCACCAATTTTTCAAGCTTACAAAGGGCCTGAACCAGCACCCAAGGCAAATCCCACTCCCATGGCAGTCCTGTATCACTCAAGCTCACAAAACTGATAGGAGGACACCAAAATGCCAGTTTATTCATTTCGTAATAATTTCCCATTTTACAAGGAGAAAACCAACACAGGTGCCTTGGAGATACTTCTGCAACTGATGCAGTCACCAAGGTACAGGGGCTGAAGACTGATGCGAACCATTCGCTGCCTGCTGTGTGGCCATGCCTGCATCCCTGGTGCCCAGCAACCTCAGTGAACTTGCCCCTGCCAGACTCTGCTTCAGTCTGGCAGAAATGCTGGCTCAGAAAGCAAAGGAAGTAAAGTTTGGTAATTATGTTACAACTCCAAAACTGGACATATTATCTCCATTTTTTAAACAATATTCTGCATAAATCAATAAGCATGTCTTTTAAACTGTGGCACAACAGTAGATCAACCATAGGACAGCCAAGCTATCAGGACAACAGACTTTAAACGAGTCTAAAAAGTAAGTCTGTTTAGGGGCTGGGGATTTAGCTCAGCGGCTAAGCGCCTGGTACCGATAAAAACGAAAAAGACAAAAAAAAAAAAGTCTGTTTACAGTAATTATTAGAAATAGAGAAAAGAGAACTAAAAATCGAAAAAATAGATCACTATTAAAAAACAGAAACTTTTAAAATGGAAAATACGGTTAATAATATTTAAACTGGTTGCATAATTTAAAACATAAGACTGAAGAAAATGAATAAAGATGGCTACAAACCAATCATCTGGAAAGAAGCAAATAGGAAATGTGGTTGAGACATGTAATACAAGCAATACCTTATAGGAGGTTGGAAGTGGGGAAGCTTTGTGTGGAGCAGGGTAGGAGGTACATGAGAAAACTTTGTACTTTCTCAATTTTTCCATGAACCTAAAACGCGTCTTTAAATCTTAATTTTACACCGTCTCTTAACCATTCGTTAATTCTGCTGTTTCTGACGGCAGGTCAAGTACTGCACCAGCTAACATTTATCGGGCATTTTACACAGATTTCTCTGCAGTCCTAAAGGTATTCGAATTAGTTTTAGTATCTTCGTTTTATAGTTAAAAGCACTGGAGTTAAGAAAATTTAGGTATTAAAGGCACGATAGCAACTTTACAGTTTCTTTACCACAGGGCTGAGTTATACTGATTTGTTCTCTTTTCCCTCACATCTGGTATTTTCAGCAATGCTTTGTGTTTGCAGTGCGGCCTCGCGCACTCCACGGGAACTCGACCGCCGAGAGGCATCCCCAGCCACTGAAGGCTTTAGAAACGCCTCGCCTCAGTTCAAACTTCGAGCCTTGCCGTGCGGACCGGGCGTCACCGTTCGCAACCAGCGGCGAGGGGCGGACAGCAAAACCGCCCCGCGCCTTCTCAGACCCAGCCCCAGTTCGGCTCCTCTCTGCGGGCCGCTGGCCGCGGCTTCTCAGACTTCTTCCTCCCGAGCTCGCAGACCGACTCTGGACGCACCGCAGACCCACCTCTCTGCGATTCCGGAGGCCTCACTTCACCTAGACTCAAGCAGGACGCAAATCCCCGTCACCACGGAAACCGCGCCTGGTTACGGCGCGGTCGTGACGTCAGAGGTCAGCACTGAGTTCCGCTTCCGGTTTCGGACCCCTTGTTTTTAGATTCCGCGGTCTGCGAATCTTAGGAGCAGAATTCTGGCATTAACGCGGCGATCTGCTGCGGTGGGCTCCGGGGACATGGCGGCCTCCACAGCAGCCGGGAAGCAGCGAATTCCCAAGGTGGCCAAGGTAGGCGATGGCGGCGCCGGCTGGGAAGGGGACCTGGGCGGAAGAGTGCTGTTTCCGAGGCTCCCAGTGCGGGCCCGAGGGAAGACGCGAGGGAGGTAGGGTCGGCCGGGGGTCGTGGCACCCAAGGCTCTGTCATCGCCGGGGGTCGTGTCTTCCGGAGCGCGATTCTGGGGAGCGGCAGCGAGGTCGGTCTGCGGAGCTTTGCATTCAGCAGTACCCGAGGGAATCGCTAGCAGCTCAGGATCTTCAGTCAGGACGTCCCGTTTCAGCTGGAGTGAAGGTTGGGTGGGAGTTAGCCCAGCCAATGGTGGGGTTCTTGAGAGTAGACATCACGTGAGCTGCTTTATAAGCAATGCATGGTTTTGTCGATGGTTGATGTCGGACCGAGGGCTGAATATGCGGGGACCTGGCCCTCAGCTTTAACAGATACTTTGCCTGCAATCTGTCATTTTCGGCCCGAGCTCCCTTGAGCTCGACTTTCAGGTACCTTGTTTAGGTGATTTTACAGCACCTAGTGCTCATTCAGAGCTGTCATCGTTATTTCACACGTGGCATTGAGTCATTTCTTACAAGTCACTTAACTACGTTTTTGGTTGAGATGTGGTCTCACCATGTTGCCCAGGGGGGCTTTAACTTGTAGGCTACAGTGGTTCTCCCCCTTTAACCTTTCTAGTAGCTGGGACTCCAAGCCTGCACCACCTTACCTGGCTTTTCAGTTGCTTAAAATTTTATTGGGCATCACTCGTGCAATGAAAATTGAATGCCAACCACATGCATAATTTAAACTTGTCTCATAGCCAGATTTTAAAAAGCACAAACAGGTGACCTTAATGTTAGTAATATATTTTAACCTAGCATATCTAAAATATGATTTCAACACACCATTGTTATAAAAGTTTCATGAGAGTTTGTTCTTTTTTGTATACTAAATTTTACAAGCCAATGTGTGTTTTATGCTTATAGCCCCAGGTTGGCCTCACCCAATGACTGGTGGCCACTGTGTTGAACAGCATAGCTCTGAGACCTCAGGAAGCTTAGAGTCTAATGATGGGAACAGCAAAAGTTTAAATTGTCATAAAATACCAGATGTGGTGGTGCATACCTATAATCCCACCACTTAGGAGACCAAGGCAGAAGGATAGAAGTGAGTTTGAGGCCAGCCTGCACTACAGAGTAAAACTCTGTCATTAGTCAGTCAGTCGATTTAAAATGTTATTAAGAACCCAACCAAGTCATCCACAAGGAGCATTAAAATAAGTTGAAGAATTCTGTAAATAGAGGTTGGAATGGATAAGAAGGCATTTACATCTTGGTAAAGCAAGGCTTCTAGTGAGATTTTATCTAGATAGCTATAATGTTTATTATTTTCATCTAAAAGGGAAAATGTCCTTTTTTTATTCTTGCCACCTTTTTCTCTTGAGGCTTTCACTATTTATAATAAATACCATGTATAAGTGAAAAACAAATTTTCATCAGTCTCATAAAGGAATGTGAATATGTCACATGTAAAAGGCCTCCTTATTCACACTTAAGTTCACATCCTAAATGTCGTCTTTCTTACAAGGTAAAAAACAAAGCCCCAGCTGAAGTACAGATAACTGCTGAGCAACTCTTAAGAGAAGCCAAAGAAAGAGAACTTGAGCTTCTCCCACCTCCACCTCAGCAGAAGATCACAGATGAAGAAGAATTAAATGATTACAAGCTAAGGAAAAGGAAGGTCAGTCAGCATGGTATCTTTCAGTCTGTTGAATTGGTGTTTTCTATAACATATGATGAGATCATTGTTCTAACCATTTGAATAACATAACTTCTGGTTATTTCATCTCACTGAATATTATAAAATATATCATCAGTTGTGTGTTTAAAAGAAATTAAGTTTGCTAGAGACATGAGTTTTGGTTTTGAACCAAGATGGGTGGCAGTCTGACAGATGGAACCAGTGACACTTGGAAGAGAGGAATACAGGCCATCTGGCAGGGCCTCTGTCTGGGCTTCAAGAGCTGTTACCTGGAGAGAACAATAAGAAGCTGTGGGATTTGATTCAACCTCTAGATTATGGATTAAACCACTAATGCCATTATGTCTTGTTGTTATTTTCAGTGTAATAGGCATACAATTCTAAGAGAATTTAAAGGTACTATTCAAAAAAGTCTTCTTCTGATATTAAAGTATCTGGTGTCATGAGCAGCAGGAGAAATTGGCAACAATTTTGCTAATTCTTTATAGTTATCTCTTTATTATAGTTTATAGTTTTTATTTACATGGACGACTTTAAAAGACACTTGTGATTATAGCCTGTGAAATAACCTGTGATTGACACCTATGGTTGCTTATTTCTCAAGGATTCCTGAATATAGCTTTTCTTTTCTTTTTTTTTTTCTGTCTTTTTTTTGTTTTTATCGGTACCAGGATCGAACTCATGACTGTCTGCTTGCAAGGCAGGCGCTTATACCGCTGAGCTAAATCCCCAGCTCCTAGCTTTTCTTAAATAAAAACAAAATGAATACCTTCTTAGTAAGAAGTTCACAATAGGGTGGTGTCATTTGTAGTCATTTTTTCCATTAACTTGATCTTTTTGGCTTCTCCAGACTTTTGAAGATAACATAAGGAAAAACAGGACTGTGATTAGTAATTGGATAAAATACGCACAATGGGAAGAAAGTCTAAAGGAGATTCAGAGGTAAAACAGAGTGCAATTTTGTATATATAGATGTCATAAGCTGATATTTTAAAAAAATCAAGAAGAAATTATTGTTGATAGTGTAATTTCATATGCAAGATGTCATACATTAATAGATTAAAAAGTAGAAAAAGTTAAGGCACAAGTTAGAGAATGTGACTTTGGTAGCAGTTGTCAGCTTGTGTCCCTTGGGACCCCAGCGTTCCTCTGAGAAACCTCAGGCACTAAAATGGTGGTTGGGGGATGAGGGAGGAGGGTCTTGCCAGCACACTGTAAGTAGAGAAGTGTGGAGTTGGCTACTATATTTTTCAGCTTTCTGTGTTAACTAGATTTTTAGAAGTGCTCTCCTGAAAACCAGCTAGTGAAATAAAAATTGTAACCTGGCCCTTCCTATTGTCCATTCCTTCTGTGTCAGCTGTGCCTAGGAACCTGCCGCACCCCAAATCTGTCATTCCTCCTGCTGTGACACTGGCAGTGCTGGGCCATGTGGTGCTGCAGCCTCCTTACCCCAGCACGGCCTCCTGGCCAGAGCCAGCTCCCCTCAAGTTCATGATTCAGATGCTGCCTACTCCTAAGACTTCCTCCAAACATCTCTTTTTTCATTCTGTTTCCTGTGTAGAATCTAAGAGTCATGTTTGTCACACTGTGTTACAGTTCCATGCTTATCTGTCATTCTAGTGGGAAAGGTACTGGAGAATATGGTATGTGCTCCCCTTTTATTCCCAAAGCTGCAGATAGCCTGAAAAAACTGCTACATGTATTATATGTGCTGTTTCTCATGCCCTCCAAATCTTCTTTAAGGGCTCGATCCATATATGAGCGTGCTTTAGATGTAGACTATCGAAATATCACACTCTGGCTGAAATATGCAGAAATGGAAATGAAGAACCGGCAAGTGAACCATGCCCGAAACATCTGGGACCGAGCCATCACAACTCTGCCGCGAGTCAACCAGTTCTGGTATGCTTCTCATCTAACCAACAGCCTTTGTGGACTAGAAAAGTTGTAGATGTCTGTTTTTATTTTCATAGTTACCATCACTCTGTACATTTAACATCCTACTTTTTCATTACACATACTCTAACTGCTTTTTAATGTCTTAGTCTTTGAGTCATAATCCTAATGTTTAATAGTTGAGTAATCAAAGCTAAAACTTTGTAATCTTTTGTACATAAAAAACTTGCTGAACTATGCAATGTTTAAATACTCTTTTTTTTCTTTCCTTTTTTTTTTTTTTGGAGACAGGGTCTCGCTATGCAGTTCAGGCTGGCCTTGAGCTCACTGGTCTTGAACTTATAATGATCTTCCTGCCTTAGCCTCCCAAGTGCTGAGATTACAAGTGTGTGCACCATGGCTGGAAAACTATGCAAGTTTTTAAGAAAAAATTCCATTTTTTTCCCGAGTGGTGCATCCTTTTTCAGGTCACATTTAAAGAAGAGAACATGTTTGATTTAAGGTTAGGCAAGATAAAACCTTCCTTCCTTCCCATTTAACAAAGGAAGAACTAGGGATTCCACAGATGGCATCTCTATCAGTTCCCTGACCACTGTCTCCGGCGGCTCTGTTGCAGGTACAAGTATACATACATGGAGGAGATGCTGGGCAACGTGCCTGGCGCGCGGCAGGTGTTTGAGCGCTGGATGGAGTGGCAGCCCGAGGAGCAGGCCTGGCATTCTTATATCAACTTCGAGCTGAGGTACAAGGAGGTGGAGCGGGCCCGCACCATCTACGAGCGCTTTGTCCTCGTGCACCCAGACGTGAAGAACTGGATCAAGTACGCCCGCTTTGAAGAGAAGCACGCCTACTTCGCCCACTCCCGCAAGGTGTACGAGAGAGCGGTGGAATTCTTTGGAGATGAACATATGGACCAACACCTTTATGTTGCCTTTGCCAAATTTGAAGAAAATCAGAAAGAAGTAAGTACTTCAAAACCTGATTGCCTTGCAGGGCAAAGTAGAAAAAGGTGACACTGGGCACGCAGTGAGTTGTTTTCCATCCTCATTCACTTCTTACAGGTTGCGGGGCGCAGGCTGGGAGCTGAGCAGTTGTGCAGTGTGTTGTAATTGCCTGATACTTGTTGTTTTTTAAAGTGAAGCCTTTGAACTGCAGAGCGGGGAGTATGACAGACATGCTTTAGATTTTAAGGAGAGCCCC